GATCCAATTTCCCTTTGCTGCTTTGGAGAGGGAGAGAAACTTAGATTTTAAAAAATAATAATAATAAATGGAGTCTCCATTGGAAAAGACTGAAACCGTTCAGGATTAGAGAAAGGGGAGGCATGTGCTGTCAGACTCCCTTGACAGAGGCAAGTTTAAGTTGCTAACTGTGAGTGTTCCCCAAGCCATCCAGGTGCACTGCGAGCTGACTTAATAGCAAACCTCCCGCACGGTCCCAAACACGTGACTAAGCCAGGTGGGACTGCACAAGAGACTTAGATGTGGCAAGAAGTTCATTGGAGTAGTTAAATGCATTTAGCTTAGACTCCGTTGTCCTCATTAAAACTTGGCAGCAAGGAAAGCGAATCACCAAAGTTTTCTTGATTCATTTTGGAAGTGTGAAGCAATGGTTGTTACCACCAAGTCAAAGCCAACCGCAATTCCCAGCTCGGGGTGCCATGAAAAGGAGACTTTATTCGGCGCAAACAGCTCAATTGTGATACAGCACGGCCATGAGAAGGGCACAGCTGTGGAGGAGCTCAATAGCGTTATAGCTCAATTAGGAAACTCCAGGACTGTGAGAAACCTCCGGGGAGGCCTCTCTCCAGCTGGACAGCTCTGCTTCTGTCCTCTCCACTCTGCCCTGCACCACTTTGCTCTGCCCCGGAGCTGGTTCAGATGGCAGGAACAATGGAGGCCAGCAGATCAGTTCAGGCTTCTCCCTGGAGTTCAGTTTGCATGAGAGGCCCCTGCGTAGAAATGGCTGCTAGGCCCCGTTTTTAAATCTGAGCTCAGTTAGCCAGCAGGAGCCCTACTTAGTAGGTATCTTCTTTCTCAGGATCCACAGAAGCAAACAATCCTGATAACAAAATGTGGCCAAGATAGCAAAAGAGAGAGACACCAGCACCAATCTAATGTATAAATATAAATGCAAAAATACTAAATAAAACATGAGCAAACTGAATTCAACAATGTATCAAAGGAATAATACATATAACATGTGGACTGCCTACGTGACCTTTGGCAAGTTAATTAACAGCATCCTCTGTAAGATGAAGATAAAACATGATAATTACAAATTAGAGATCTTATTAGATCCCAGGGTCTAATGAGGAACTACGTGTAGCACTAAACAAATGTTCATTGTTCGTATTAGAGCTTATTCTATTGAAATAGAAAACCTGTTAATATACTTCATCCTGTTAACACTGTTAGTCTATATGGCTTGGGTAAAGTTGATCCCACCCCTGGGAATTAGGGTGGGCATGTGACATAGGCTTGGCCAGTCAGAGTAGGGCTTCTCCCTGCCCACAGTGATTGTTTCCATGACAACTAAAGGACCCTTGCTAAGCCAATGAGTATAATACATGGAGGTCCTATTGGAACTGAGAAAGGTTTCTTAAAGCTGGGGCTGCTAAGGTGTTGGCCACCTTTGCCCCCACAGTGGGAGAACCTACATGAGAATGAAGCAATACAAAGGAAAGGAAAGCTGAGAGAAAGAAATTTCTGACTCTAACATTTCAACACCTAGATCCAGCCACTCCTGAAGTTCTACCCCGTGACATCTCACATGTGAGACATTTTTTTTCTTCTTAAAAGAGTTTGATTTGGATTTTGGTCTGTTGTTTTCAAAAGAGTCTGGACTCATACTTGCTAACATGGAACTATTAATCCCTGGGTCTTCTTGCTGAGAGATCAAATCATTGAGTTAAGCAAATATTTGAATCAGTCAAGACTCTCAATCACCAGGGTGAGAAGAATTACTCAGTTGGTTTCTGCAGAGAAGTATATTCTAAAGTCAGCTTGTTTGCTTGCTCTAGGGTTATGGGTTGTGGTTGAAGAATGTTTGGTATCTTTTCTTTGTATCTTTTCCTTCATTTCTTTCACTTTAGGAGCGTATCTTGACCAGCAACAAAGTCTGCCCAGGAGGAGAGAGCTATTGGCCCAGGTAACTTGCATCAAGCACTGGATTGGTTCCCACACAGATTCTCCCTCTCAAAGGAAAACCTGATTTCCAAGTTCCCAGGCCCATCCGTGTAACACTGTATGTCTGTTCATAGCCTTTTGTGTGTTTATTTGGATTTCCTGTAATAAATATGAAAGAGCTCCCCAGATATTTTAGGGAATAATCATATTGAATGCCACATTTGAGGAAAACATCCCCTATGCTATTATTTTTACTTCCTTGGTGTTTTTTCCATCATGTTAAAGCTAAAACAGTTATTGTAACTTCACATATCAGGTAACACTTTTAAAATACAATCTAGTTAAGCACCTAACACTTTGGCATCCTGGATGGACGATTTACTAGTTCTGCATCCTTGAGCATGTCACTCAACTCTCTGGGGCTCCTACACTCAGCTACAAAATTAGCATAATACATAAAGGTAGTAACAGAACTTAAGTTTATAAAGATTAAGTCAGATCTTATTAAGGGCTTAGCTCAATGACCAGCACATAAAAACATTCAATATGTATTAGCTTCTCATTTTCAGCACCCAAAGCCTGTCTAAATTCAATGGACGCTGTTTTAACCAGGGGTCGCACGCTCTGGGGGTCCCCGCGCAGCCGGGAAGGGCTCCCAACCGCCGGCGTCCTCAGCGCTCGGCCGCCGCCAGGGGGCGCGCTCCGACCTCCGGCACCAACCGGCCGGGCTGCGGCGCTGGA